AGACTATAACTTGAAGGTCCCTTGGCAGTGTGGTGGAGGAGGATATGGTGAGGTAATCCTCACGGTAAGTGGGGAGGAAGCGTGCCAGGCAAACACCCAGAGGCAAGAATCCCAACTGAGCCGTGAGTTGGCCTTGGATTTGGCATTCCGGCAGTCCCGCCGTGTGCATTTTAATGTCCAAAGCCACCATGGCTAGCACATGGGGAATCTTTAGCTCATTGAAGAGGACAGCTCCAAGTTCCAATGGGGCCCATGTTACTCGATGTATGAGCTCTTCGCCTGCCTGTTGGCATCAGCCCGCGCGGCTGGCATTCAGGATGGGGCAGCTGTCGCCTCTAGTGAATTGCCGTCGTGTGGGGCTGGGAGTCGAGATGGGTGGAGTTGGACTCTCCTGAGGGGTGTAAGGGCGCCTCACGCTGTCGTCGACCCAAACTGAATCGTCCAGAATACGTCCGGACCTCAAGACACGAGGGGAGAGTCTCTCCCTCCTCTGGACGAGTATGGCGAGGGCATGACAAAGGAGCGCATATTTGGATTGCCCTGTGAGAGGGTGCCTAAAGAAAGAAAGAAGAGGGGAACGCTCTCAACGAGCCAGGAGGGCAAGAATCCAACGCTGTCTAATGTGAAAGAGGGGAAAACACGGCGTACACCAAGAAAATAAATTTACAATGGAATATTACAATGTAACAGAAAAATCTCGTAATTGGGTTAGGCGGGCGGAGGACCTGAGGTTCCAAAAACCTCTCATCAGGTTCCCCTCAAAGGGGAAAGACCTGGGAGTACCCACTCGCTTGGGTCGGTCTCTGAGGTTGCAGGCCGCGGAGCGGCCTCGTTGGGGTGCCTTCCGGGGTGGGAGGTAGGACCTTATAACGGTCTGCAGCTTCACACCGGTTGCAGGGAGCTGTCGCAGAGGCCTCTGCGTCGACGGGATTCGGAGATATGGATGATAGGAAATATACCGGGTTTCTGGGGTCCCTTTCGAGAAAGTTGAGTGCCAGTGCTCGGCTTGTCTTCACCGCAGAACCTCGCGGGAGGTGGCAAAGTCTCGAGGCTTCACTGGCTGGCCGACTGCCGAGAACTGTGATGGACTTCGTGGAGGCCGGAGCCGTCCTTGGAGGCCAAAGATTTTTATCGGCTGTCGGGTCCCGTGTCAGGACGAACACGTAGCAGAAGTCCGATTTGAAATATCTCTTTCCAAACCGAACTTATCGGAAGTAGAAGTGAAATTCCCTGTTGAGGGGCCAGGGAAACGCCTCTATCTGGGCCACAGTGGTCGCACGACGATGGGAATGGCGGCGTTGGAGAGAGGAGAATGGGGGCTATCCGTAGAGGTGCCACTCGGCTCGGTCGCGGGGAGGTCGTGCAGCGACCTCGCGAGGCTGCCGCGAGCTTTGGGTGGGGGGTCTGCCTGTACCTCCGGAACCCGATGGCGAAGTCCGTAGCCCGATCGGACTGCGGATGGCGGAGATATTGCCCTCCTCGTCGAGGGTTGAGAAAAAGAATGTGTGGCCTAGGGGCCTCCTATGCCCATCCAAGACGTTGCAGTCAAATGGATTGTCAAGAAGCTAGAATTCCAAGACGGCCAGCGCGCAGCGCTGGGCCCACTTTGAAGCTCTCTGTACTTGAGCTTTAAGAAAGCACTATGCCTCACTCGTATGAGTGGAAAAGCGCAGGCCCACAAAATTCCAAAATTTCTCACTCACTTCTATGGTCACTTATCCAGTAGACTTGGCTGAGAGCAGATGTGGTGCCTTAAGCTCCTCAGCTTTTGAAGTTGAAAATCAACTGGAAGATACTTCTTCCAGGATTATGATCTGCTGGTCCAATCCTGATAAGGGCTTAAGAGAAAACAAGACACAACCGTTTGAACCAGCGACCTATGGATCACTACCAACTGAGCTATCGAAGGTAACTGGAAAGCCGGATAGTACTTACAAATATAAGCTAACTGATATCATGTTTCCGTAGTGTAGTGGTTATCACGTTTGCCTAACTCTCGAAAGGTCCCTGGTTCGAGCCGGGCGGAAACAATTATATGTACTCCCATGTGGTCTAATGGCTAGGATAGCTGGCTTTCACCCAGCAGGCCGGGTTCAATTCCCGGCATGGGAATATATTTTGCTTCTCAATTGAAGGCATGAAAAAAATACATAGTCTATTATTCCTGACATGATAAGTTTTGTTTTTATAACACAATGTTCATCAACCCTTAAGCAAAGTAAACTACATAAAATTGAAGATTAACTAATTACAGAATGTAGAATATAGAATTAAAAAAGAAACTTAGTATATGATTTATTTTAAAGTGATATCAAAAGGTTTCCGACACCGGGAATCCCCGGGCCTGCTGGGTGAGAGCCAGCTATCCTAACCCTAGACCATGCCGGATATATGACAAAGTTAAGATTTGATGTCAATAAGTCGGTTATAAGAGTATCTTTCATTAATTTTGTACTGAAAGAACATTCTATGTTGATTAATCTTTCAGTTAAAAGCAAGCAGAGCTAAGGGCCTCCGTGGCGCAATTGGCTAGCGCGTTCGGCTGTGTCAACACCTCTTTTAAGAAGCTCTTATCAGAGGTGTCTGGAGATTCGTCAAACAGGGATTCTTCCGTCAAAACTCCGTCATTTTCTACAGTGGAGCTTAAGGAAACACTTCTGGGATGCTTCATCTTCAAAAACATACTGATTTTTTTCATAAACTCCATCTGCAGGCCGGCTTTGACAGCCTGCCCATTCCTCCTCTACCCTCTTCACTGCCTCTCCCCTTCTCTCCTCTACTACAAGAGTGAGTGTGCATTCATAAGTTATTCTACAACGGAGAGCTGTCTCCCCCCTGTTTGGACGGTTCCAGGCCAGTAGCCCAAATTCCATTTGACCACAAGCATAGGGCTTGCCCAGGACTGCTTTGTCCTAAAAGTGGTTTTGGTTTTTGGGTGAATGGTTTGGCTGATTGCTCCCGAACCGCTAGACCTAGGACGCTGAGACCAACGTCAATCGACTGGCCTTGAAAAGCCGGTCCTTTCTGACCCCTTTTGAGTCCCGTCCTCGCAAGGCCGTTTCCGTCCTCCGCCATCCTCCGCCTATTGTATCGAGTGGCAACTCATCTTTCTCAGCCACCGCAGCGTAACCTGTTGGTGAAGTCCGATTGGCGCTATCCCCCCGGGTCCGGAGTTATCGACCTTGGAAGTTTGGAGATTTCTGGATTTCCGCCTTCCTTGGTCTACCATTCGGCCGGTGTCCGTCGGAGAGACGTGGGACCTTATTCTCTGGCATCGTTGTTGCCAGAACTTCCTTTTGTGTGACCTCGCAGCCTCCAGAGGCCGTGAACGGCCTCCGCCGTCCTCGGCGTCATACATATCATTGGATTCGTCCTTTCGCCCTCTCTCCCCGACCCGTCTCCGTCCGTCCTGTCGTTTCGGAATTATCGACCACAACGGTTTGATTTCTTTAATTATATATTGACTCCATTGGTTTGTTTGTCCTTTGTTTCCATTTTATTGTTTGTTTTGTTTTACTTTTCTCTCTGCCGTTGTTTCGTATTGTTTTGTTGTGTTTTGTTTGTATTGTTGTTTACCCTCCTCTCTTAGGACTACTCCTTCAGTTTGGTCTGTTTGGAGGACTTAGTTTTTATTGGTTTTTTGATTTTAGCTTTCTTTATTTTATTTCTCTTTATTCTTTTTGTTTACCTTTTAAACTAAATTTAAATTCAATATGTCAGGCGACTCCTCCAGTAATAGTTTGAACAAAGATATCTCCTTTTCTCCCAGAACACTTCGTTCTGGTAAAGTTTTTTGTAATGTTAGTCAGGGTAATTTAAGCCAGGATTGTCTTGTCAACAATCCTGTTGCTTCTTCTAGTAAAGTTTTGCCTACAGATTCTTCGCCGATTACAATTCCTTCAGACATTCCCAGAAACTTTTGCAATTTCCCCCCCACTTTAGGTCTTCCGGACTCTTTTAATAATGACTATAATTGCTCCCATGATGAGTGTTTTGTTTTAATGAATTGCCTCAATGAAGAGGCTGAGCAAGTTCCTGGACTCCTAATGAACAATATTAAAGTTTCTGGGCTTGCAATTTCCTTAATTCGATGTCTCCCTATTTATAGGGAGAAATTTTTAATAATCAGCTCCTTGAAGTCCCTTCCTGTTGACTTGGAGGTTTTTAAAATTATTTTCTTTTTAGCAAGTTCGGAAGTAGAGGGATCATCAAATGGTGGCCTGTTTCAGGAATGTACTCTTCTCGAAAATATTTCGAGAAGATTTAAAATCAAACGCAAAATTTTAAGTCTGTTAAGGACGGAAACTATTTTCCGTCTCTTGACAAAATTTTGACCTTTAACCCTTCTTTTTTAGTTTATTTAAGTAATGAAAGTAATTTAGGTCCGCCACCACCTTTTAGTTTTCGTAAGGCAAATAAAATTAAATATTTAACTTCTGCATTTCCTGAAGCAGGATGGCCCCTCGAGGATCAAAACATATTTCAAAATTTCCAATTTTATGATGAGGTCTCGCCTCAAGCGAGTCCTCCTTCAAGTAGTAATTTTACACAGGAGGTGCCTTTAGTGTCGTCTCCTGCTGTAAACACCTCCAGGCTCTCAGTGAACACTGATGAGCTGATGAACTTTAACTGTAATAGCAAATCAAGTAAAATAAATGACCTTTCCACAACTGGTTCTTTATCGGATGGGTCCTCTTTGGTTGTGTTGAACACCACGGAAGGGGAACAAAATAGTTCCGTCCCTCTTGAAGCTTCCACAGATTGTCCTCAGGAAGTTGAGACATGCCCAACTCCTAGTGTTCCAGTGTCTGAGCCAGTTGAGCAATCTGTGGAACCTGAACCTGAGGCAGTTGCTTCGTCTTCGTCTAATTATGACATGTCTTCGTTGGATGATCTTACGCGTCTTGCTGCTGAGAAAGCAGGGAGTCTCTCGATGACAAACGTCCTGGAGTTCCTGAGATCTGGTGAGCCCCGCGTTACGGGAGTGGTCCGATCTGAGGACTCTAAAGAGTATCACGAAAGACATAGACATTACTCCAAGACCTTATTAATTAGAAATGACCGCCGTCTCAACTATAGTACGTTATATAAATTAAAGGATACAATTAGGAGTGCTGACCGGATCACTCCCAAAGATATCATTTCTTTTATTTTTAAACTTTCTTTTCATCAAAATGACCTCCGGGAACGATTTAATCCCATCCCTAAAAGGATGAGAGCTCTGCTGGGTGCTCAATTTATGTATCCCTGCAACTGTAACATTTTATCTACCTTTTTAGCTATGGACAAAGTTCCATCCATAAATAATGTTTTATCACTTTTAATTGACTTTACTGTTTTTAATTACAGGGAGAGAAAGGGGTTGATAACTGTCCCCACCTCTTCTCGCCATTCGAGAAAGAGGATTGAGGCTGAGCTCCGGAAGGAGTATTCCGGAACTATGCGAGCCATTTGTGAGGGGAAGTTGAGCTCCTTTCTCTCCTCCCGCCGTGTGTCCTCTGATGTTGCAGAGGAATGGGCTTCCATTTTAAATCAACAGTCTGTCAGGGATACTAGATCAATTGATGTGATCTGTGACATCCAGTACGACTCCTTCTTCCCAATTGTCCCGGAGGAAGTTAAATTAGCCCTTCCTAAAATTGATGCTAATGAAGACCCAATGGGGGTGGATGGCAGATTTTTTAGGAATGCAGATCCAGCCATTTTATGTAAATACTTTAATTCAATTTTATCTGGGCAAAGACCCCCATCTGAACTTCTTAAAGCAATTACAACTTTGATACCTAAGGTTGACGACCCTAGGACTTCCAGTGATTATAGGCCTATCACAGTGATGCCTCATTTTATAAGAATTTTCCATCGCATTTTGGCCTCAAGATTAGCCTGCGCCCCAATCGATTCCTCCCAGCGGGGTTTCAGGAGGGTCAATGGCTGTCTTGAGAACAATGCGATTTTAAAAGCAATTTTAAAGAAAGCCAATCAACGCGGAGGCAGGGGAGTGCCATGTCATGGTATCTTCCTTGATTTCTCCAAAGCCTTTGACAGTGTCTCACATGATTCTGTTATCATTGCCTGTCGGAGACTAGGAGTTCCTGAACCGCTGATTGACTATTTTAAATTCGTCCTTAATAATGCCTCTACTTCCATAGGTGGAATTAAGGACATCAAATTCAATTCTGGAGTCTTACAGGGAGACCCATTATCAGCCCAACTTTTTAACTTCGTCCTAGACATGGTCCTGGACGAGGCTTTGACTTCAACTTCGACAGCTCTCTCCCCATATGAGATGGATGGAGAGAAGCTGTCGGTTTTATTATATGCTGATGATGCGGTTCTTGTCAGTAAATCGAAGCATGGCATTCAAAATTTTTGGATAATTTTCTGGCTGCATCTGCCAAAGTAGGACTTAGGCCTAACCCATCCAAGTCCAGCTACTTCTGTGTTGGTATGGGATCGCGTTTGAACCGATCCCCCGTCTCCATGGCCGGTTCTTTATTGGAGCCATTGGCCATGACACAAACACAGAAGTATCTGGGCTTAATTTATCGCCCTGCGGGTCTTCAAATTTCTAACATCACTCAATATTTAAGGAAGGGTATTTCTTTTATTTCAGAGTCCAATGTCTCTAGTTTTCATAAATACATATGCCTCAGAGATTTTCTGCTCCCCAAGTTCGTTTATGAACTTTCATTGGGGAGAATTGGCACTAGAGACATTGAGACTGCTGACTATTTAACGCGGGAGTTTATTAGGTCTCTTGTCAGATTGCCTAAGTGTACTCCTACAGAGTTTTTTCATGCTCCTGTTGCCATGGGTGGAATTGGCCTGCTCCACTTTAAGACAAAAATAGTCACCCTCCAAAATAAATTGGCAAAGGCTATTGTAAATTCGAATGACCCATTGGTTAAAGCATCAGCAAGGGTTTGTCCAGACTTGATTGGGCTATCCGTAGTGAGGATAGGTGGCAGGCCCGTCACAGATAGGTTGGAGGCAAGGAAGGCCCTTGCTGAGGAATTGTATATGAAGGTGG